AAAATTATTTGTCAGTATGCTGCTGTTATTATCAATATATCACTAGTCAATCATCATCTCCCCTATTTTGAGGGAAAAAAAAAAACAAACACAAATTGGAAACTACCTGGAATTTTCACAGGTGGGCTGCCATCCTGCAGGTAGCAGTCTGTGAAGGTGGGGTTTTGTGACTGCTCCAGAGGCTAGTCCCTTCACTCAGTGCTTTGTGCAATAACTGTTTATACTCTTTCCCAGTCCAGACTGGGTTTAACTTCATTCTCTAGGATCTTTTAACTTCCAGTTTATGTGAATTGGATTACTTGCTAATGAATTTCATTTAAATGCCTTGCAAGTGAAATGGTGCCGTGGCACAGCTCGCCCTCCTCCTTCCTGGTGGTACCAGCTGATTGGTATTGACAAGATTACTGGGGTTTTTAATGGAGCTGGCTAAGTTGGTTTCCTCTCCAGCAGTTCAGCTTCCTTCCCTTTCAGTGGGCTGTGAGCTGCTTTCTGTGATTGCCTCTATTTTTTGACTGTTACAGAAATTGGTGTTTAAACTTAAATATAGCTGCTTCAGTGTTCCTTTTCTCTGGTCTGATTTGTCCCGTGTTTCTCACTGCACAGTGAATCCCGTTCCTGTGCACTTCTGAAGAGTGATTCCTGGCTCTGAATGATCTTTCCTCCAGAATAGTGCTGTCTGCTTACCCAGTTCTTATTCTTCATCCCCTCAGACACCTTGCTTTGTTTTGATTGTTGGCATACATATGTCCTCAGACAGACAGGTGGTTGCTCTATGAAAGAGTACTTCTGACGTGTGGAAAGCTGGGCAACTTTAACGTGATTTGAATGTACAAGTTAAACATTTCACCTTTGAAACATCCAGAAAGTCGGCTTACGTCAGGTTTTTCTATATATCTGATGTAATAAAGGTAAAAGACGGAACGAAGATTGGGAAATAAAGGTTTCTTAATTGACAGAGGAAAGCTCATTCAGACAGAGTTTAGGAATATGGGTGGATATGTCTCTGGGCAGGTCTTGGATACTTTCAGTGCTCGCTGATGAGGCTTCTTGTAAAATACCCTCTGTAACACCCCCCTTCATCTGAGCATTCCCAGTGCTGTGCCACTCCCTGCTCCCAGAATGAACTATTGGAGCAGTCTGTGGGTGTTATTTTGTCACTAGGATCCCTATTGCTACCTCCTACTTGCAGGTAATGACAGTTTTTCACAATGTCTTGTGTGTGGTGCTGATTTCCACCCCCCCTCACAATTATATGTATTTGTTTCTTGTGAATTTTCTGACTTGGTATTTGCCTCAGTTCAGCTTTACTGTTAGATCTGAAAAGCAGATGTTATTGTAGATGGGCTAAATTGCTTAAAAATATTGCCATACCTTGCTGTGGAACTGTGATTAAAAGAAGTAGCTTTGTTTTTCTTTGTTTGTGTTCCAAGCACGGCAATGGTAGAATCACTGCTAGTTTTGTGTGTGCCTATTATCCAAATGAAAGGAAGGATTCAATGGGGTGATTAGTTTTCAATTTAGGCTTTTAAAATTATTGTCTGATGCTTTTTACAGCGTAGTTACTGAGGGGAATATCCAGGATTTAGTTATTTTTAATTCTATTTTGATTGGGATGCTTTTTCCAGATACTGAATCCAGATAAAAGCTGGATACTCGAGGATAATTTAGAAGAAAAGATACTGTGTCCTTAGAAGGCTTTTGTAATTCACAAAGCACAACATCTAGTGACTAAATTTGTTGTTAGGGCTCAAATAGCACCAAAATCTCAGAAAGCAGTATAAACAGTGTGATCCTAAGAGGATTAGAAGAGAGACACAAGTGCACAAGTTCACATGGGGAACAGGAACAATTCAAAACTCGCGCAAAAACCGCGGGTTTAGCCGTAGCACAAACCCCGTGCAATGGCTGGGGAGGAGAAAGTAGCTTGAACGGTGGCCTTTCTGGAAGAAAATGGCCAAACATTCTTGCAATAGCTTGTGGAGAAATCCTTGCTTTGAACTGATGGTGTTTGGAAGCAGATGAGGAGTAACGACCGATGTACATCTGAGCTACGTGTTTATAACCGGATTTGTCACTGTGTGGCTCCAGAGTTGTTTTTATCTGTGGTTTCCTTTGTACCACACAATTATTACTTGGCTGATAGCAGCAGCCCAGTCTGTGCTATCAGCATCGATTGTTATTTGCCTCTCTGGTGTAGTTGGTTTGGTGTGTTAGTTTTGGCCCTGCAGGTGGGAACTGCCTGTCTCGGGCAACCTGTTTGCCTCAACCTCAGTGTGCAAGCTCTGGCCTCGAGTTCGTGGCCTCAGGATGCTCTTTAGGAGGAGACGGTGTTGGGCGTTGTACTGAGTGTTTGGGCACAGTGCCACAGAGGGACATGGGCATCAGGTGTGCCATCCTGTGCGGAAAGAGCTGTGTGGGCAAGGCTGGTGAGCGCTGGCTGTGAGCAGGTCGCTGCACACATGGCAAAATCTTCTTTCTTTTTAAGTTGAGGGGAGTAGTCTTCAGGCCGTGTTGAGCATGTTAGTCATCAGGCAGTGGTGAACTGTTCCCAGCCCCTCCAAGATGAAGGATCTGAAATCACAAGCTACTGTGCATTCCCCAGGTGTGCTTTGTCAACTTCAAGGGCATCTGGTGGATTATTTTTAAGTGTCACATAGTGTAGCAGTTACTGCACCTGGGCACCTGTTTAAATCACCGTAACAGGTCAGAATATGAAGGCAAGCGATAGTCTAAAATCAATAAATTATAACTGTCACCTGCACTGTTTCAAGGTGCACGCCAAAATCCAGTAGGATAAATTTGGAAAGAAAAAAGCTGCTGATGAGGCATTTGTACTCAGCACTCGATTCTGAAGAAGGACATCGCAGAGTTTTCTAAATGTTTACGTGTCATTTCAAGCGCCCTTATTTAAAACTGGAGCCTACAACCAATTAACATTGAGTGAGGAATGAAGCGAAGTCAGTGAACCCTTTCTTTTCTCATTCTCTGCTCTCTTGAGTCGTTGCCTCCAGCTTCTTTCCGTGTCACTGCCCTGTTTAGATATAAAGCGAAGGACAAGAAGCCTCTTCCACGGATCAGGCGGAAAGGTTTCCCTCTCTGGCTCTGATGAGATGAGTGCTGCACTCAAGATTGCACAAGGGCAAAGAGGTGTTGGAAGGAGACAGTTTGGGCAAGGAGTACCAAAGGAGGCCTTTTCTCATTGAAGAAAATGGTTTATGTTTGTGCAATCATCCTTTTGTTTACGTTTGCCATGTTCCTTCCCAAATGAAATAACCCAAACCAAGCGTCACACTTGGAACAGGGCAGCGGGGGCCTCCTCTGCCTTTCTCTGCACACAGCTTTTATAATGATTGAGACTGTTTTACAAAAGAATATTGGCTGGTTGGAGTTTTGTTCTGTTTTTAAGGAAAATTCTAGTTATAAGCAAGTAATGTTTTTATGGGGTCTGATGCTCTGGCCGTGGAAAAAGCAAACTTTCTGAGCGGCCTTGCATAGGATACTGTGCTGCTTGAGGAATGGAGTTTTCCTCAACCTATTTACATAATTTCTGCAGCACCAGTACAACTAAGCAAGGAAATAAGATCGTGTTTGCAAATTCTTTCAATTCCCAGCATTCCTCAGCATCCTCTGCAGTGCCTTTTGCTTGCACTGTGAAGGTGACGTTTCTGCCTGCTGTATGAGATCTCCTAAGAATAAAATAAGCCCAAATGCTGCAGCTTTTTTAATTTTTTTTTTTTTTATTTTAAATTTTTTTGGCTGGGTCCAAAAATGGCTTTATAATAATTTATTTCCTACTTGTTGAGCTTGAAAATTGTACCTGAGAACCTCATGTTGATCATGAGTCCCTAACCCCGAGGTTATTCTTTAGTCACAGTAAAAGTTTTTTAGCACAGGTTACAGATGCTTTGTAAAGAGTTTAATCTAAAAATAGTCTGATAATACTTTATTAGTCACCCATGTCCATCTGTCACCCTTCCTGCTCTTTGAGTGGGCGATTAGATTATGTCTAAAGAAAAGTCGTCTGGCAAGTATTTGTGTGAAGGGCAGTCACTGAGGAATATTAGTGTGAATAAAAATCATTTGTCATTGCTGAATAAAAATGGATGTTGCAGTGGACGGACATCAGAATCTGTTTGCTTATACTTAACTATTTAATTCTTAGATGCATAAAATTATTATTGAGATGCAGTGACAATTACTGAAATGTAGGAGAGTGTGGATTTGTTTGGATTATATTTTTGTTGGGGTTATGAACCCATGGGGTGGGCAAGATTTCTCTTGAATATTGCACTAGGAAGATTTCTATTATGTACATGTCAAATATTGCCAACAATTATTATGAACTGTTTTTTTTTAATTACTGAGGTCACTGCAAGAGTTTATAACTGTTTGGACACTGAGGTTACACCTGTGTACATAAATGGAATTATTTAGTGCAAGATGTGTTTGAAAAACAGACTTATTTTTCTTTTACTGCTTCACAGTGGATGTAACCATTTTGGAAGTCAAACCACTGGAATGTTGATTTTTGTTTGGGGCTTTTTGGAGTGTTTAGGTGTAATTTGGCATGGGCAGATACTGTAAGTTGCCTAGTTGCCTTCCCAAAGCTTTTCCCGGAGAGTTAAGGCAAAATCCAGACATCAGGATTTTTTTTCTACCCAAGTTGTTTTGTTTGTGTGTGCTCCTGCTGAATGGGTGCGACCGTCTAGAGGTCTGATGGTGCAAGTGTTCATTCAGCAGGCTTGTTTGTTCAAAGGTCTGCGTTTCAGGCTCCCCGCAGGAGCCCGATGTGTGATGTGGGGAGCGACAGGATATGCAAAGCCCTCAGCTCTGTGTGCTCTGCTCCAGGCTGTGCAAACTCAGTGGTAACCACTCAGCAGCCTGAACAGAGCAGGCTGCAAGGCCCGTGTTTGATAACGTTTTATTGTGTGTTAACACCGCCGTTTTCAAAATAATAAATATTAACGCTTCCTATTTCGTCTCCCTTATTTCCTTTTCAGCATCACCCTTCTGTGGCAAGAGGCGCCTGAAAGGAAAACTTCTGCATATCAATGCACTGCCAATGGTAAGTACCTTTTTAACTGACTAAAGGTGGTGTGGTTCCTTCCTGCTCACGTGCCATTAGCAGACCTGTACTGCAAAGAGTATTTTTTTTGAGAATAATTACTTTTTTAGCACACAAGTGCTATTTGAAATTTTTTTGAAGAACATCTAGGCCATTATGCTGTTTGACAAAAATATTACGGTTGCACCTGGCTTTTGTCCTGTGGAAAGTAGGGCAGCGTGTTAATTTTGAAGCGAGAAGTGTGACTTGACAGTAACGTGGCTCATCCTGTTGGTAACTGGTGTTGCTTCCTCTTTTGGCCAAAAGCCTGCTTGGGGTGAGCTGTAGCCCAGCTGAGTGTTCTATTGCCCCCACTTGGATGCTCTCTGCAGTTTGTTTCATTATTAAACGGCTTCTCCTATTAAAAAAAAAAACACAACAAACTCTACAGTGTAAGGTGTATTTTGCTTCAGGCCATTTGTCAGTGCAAGACTAGTGAAGTTAAAATCTTAGCTTCTGTAGGAAGGGGCTTGGTTGGTGCAATGTTCTTCTTCCGTCTCTGGAATGTTACTCAGTGTTACAGACCATTGGAAGTTCATATTTTCAGATTGTCCTCATGGTTTGCTGGTGCTTCCAGAGAGCTGTGCATATGGAAAGCAGAGGTGAGGTCTGAAGGGAAGGACTGGAACTTACTGCTTCAGCTTTGATTAAAGATTTTTTTCTCAGCAGTCTTGAGTTCTTTTGTTGTCACAATTGAGGTGTACAAGAATGGTAACTGCAGCCTAAAGAAATAAATGGGTAAAATGCCAGCCTGAGTTTCATATTTGAAGCATCTCTAGATCATTATGCTCAGTGAAAGGGATGATATTTCGAACCACTTGCTTTCGAACCTGAATTTTGGATCTGAAAGCTGTTTCCTTTGGTTTGCATATGGGCATGGGTCTATGAAATATGTAAATATCCACTGTCTTTGCCCTGTGAGGAAAATGACACTCCAAGAGAGTTTGCTTGGCTATAACTGCGTTACTTTGAAATGCAGTAAGCAATTCTATTCATTCCCATTCATGGAGTGAAATGTAATATATTTGGCACTAAGTAAAGCAAACACATGCCTGAAATCAGCAGATTTGCACCAAGTGTGTATGTCATTTAATAGTCTGATTTTTAGGCTCAGAGTTGATAATGTGTGGAGCTTGTATTGATTTGGGATGAATTTCAACTGGTGGGAACGGATTTGTTGAGTGAGAAAGCGTCGTGTTTACATGGTCACTTAACCTGGTATTTCAGCTTCTCAAACCTGAAATGAGCAGTGCTCTCAGCCTTTTCTAGTATTGCCAAACCTTCATTGTTGTTGTTGACCTTTTTCCAGCAAAAAGCTACTCCGATTTCCTTTTATTTTGTAATAGTTGAGTGTTATTTTAGTCATGATTTAAGATACCGATCTGTATTACTGCTTCCCTTAAAAACATGACTCATTTCATATTAACCTAGTCCTTATACTTCATAAAATTTTAAAATACTGGGAGACTGTACTTGAAATGTTGCTGCATTTTGTCCTAATTTCCCCCCTACAAATTATATTAGAAATTCAGAATTGCACAGTCTCAAGGGCATGGTAGTTGTTACAATGATCATAAAATATGCCCAACTGTTACTTGTAGTGAAGTGCTCTTTTCTTTAAGGGTTGTTTTTGTGCTGTAACTTACTATATTTTATTATTTGAGAGATTCCTAAACAGTTAATCACCTCTAATTAACTTGGAAATAGTTTGAATTTCCATCCAAGAGACAAGCTAGACACATTCTTCATCACTCCAAATGTAATCATAACTTCATCTGTATAGTAAAAAAAGATTTTTATAGGTTCTTATTAGGATATTTTTTTCTCTGATGTGTGTAAACAAAATGTGGGCCAGAGGTTGCTCAAAAAAACAGTTTATGTTCGTCTCCTAAACAGGATTTGGTTTAACTTGGCTGCCCATGCTCAACACATGTATTTGAATAAGAAATTAATTTCTTATTCCCTTGAGAAATGATAGTAGCACTTTGGATCATTTTTTTAATCCTGATTGTCAGTTCCATTTCTCAATAGTAAAAAAAAAAAGTAAAACAATTTACACGTCCTCTTTTATTTTCTTAGATTTTATATTTTGGAGGTAATCAAAAGAAGCTTATTTTTTGCATGATATAGGATACATAACTGATAACTAAATAGGGTAAAATTAGAGTTACTCCTTAAAAATACATTGAAGTTGTTGACAATTTTTTAAAAAATAAAACATTGATATTGTGATATAGCCTGCTAAAAGAGAATATGACTGTGTCCAGTGGGTGTAAGTTCTCTTTCCCATTCTTCCAGTCAGCTTTAATGTTCCTCACCCTTTCAAACGAAAGATGCAAAGGCTTATTGAAAAAGACCTGTTAAATGCAGGAAAATAAGTGTATAATGCCACTTTTTCTAGGATTTCAAAGGTTCATTTAGAGACTGATAACTGGGTACTTAATCCACAGTCACAAGGATTAATGAATGTGTTGGAAATAAAAATTTAAAGCCTTAGTCTAAGCAAAAGATGATGTCAGGATTTCAGCAAAGGCTTTAGCAAATAAATTTTCTTATATGATGGATCAGGTAGCTTACCCGAGAGAGGTTTTCCATCATACCTTGCAAGGCTTCTCTGGTGAGTTTTGGAAGCAAAACAGTTTGTCTTTCTGTCTTCTGTAAGTTATTGAAGCAGGTCTCTGTGCATAAATTTGTTTGGCAATATGAGTGTGCTTATCTGTGCATTTATCTGTAAAGGCATGTATATGTGTATCTCAATATATATATATATAAAGGATTGTGCAAAACCCAGAAAATTAAGAGAAAGGTGGGAGGTACAGTTTGAGACTCTGACAGGTTGCTGTGATGGGTTTAGTTTTGACCCCAAAAAGGGCTGTGAAAGGAATCAAACAAGCAAAGCAACGTGGTGGCCTTCTGAGAGGCATCCTGGAAAACACTGTCCCGGGTTCTTAGTTCCGTCTTTTATTTAGATGGGTAGTGTGTAAAGATCAACACCCTCATCAGTTAAAAAGGTCTCATGCCAAAGAGAATAGGGGATGTTATTGTTTATTACAAGCTGGCACAGGCCAAGTCTGAGGATAGGCAGTGAGCCTGTGCTACTTATTCTCCTGGAAACCAGTGTCATCCAAAGCTAAGGCATGTCCACACAGTCCTGGGGGCAATACAAACTAGGCGGTGTAAATCCATTCTTTTTAATGCTATCTGCTTTTAGGTGAAGCCATCATACTGTGTTTTGAAGGTGTAACACACCTATTGTTTGTTACATCAACTGTTCCTATCTTTAAGAGATGTTATGGAACAGCTCTGCAGGCGCTTAATCTCTTGGGGCAGGAAATTCCATAGGTGCAGCATTTCAGTGTAATTATCTACCCAGCGTATTTAGCCCAGAAACAGCAGGAGTGCTTGGAGGAGATGGGGAGGATAAGTCATTCCAAAGAAAAAGGTGCTCAGTGAAGGGATTGGAAGATGTCTCCAACAATTTCCCCAAGACTGCAGCGAGATTTTTTTTCTTTCAACCTCTCAATGGTGCCTTTAGGTTGTCCTGTGACCCTACCACTCCTTAGAAGACAGCTGAAGGAATAAATTAATATTAGCCTGTGGTTCCCCAGCAGCTAAACCCATCTAAATGCTGATCTATCTGCCAGATTAACTTTCTGCCAGTCCATGATGCTAAAATGGTTTAATGCAGAGGAAGATAAAGAAGGGAGAAGGCAGGAGCCTGCACCCAGAACTTGAGGGATTTGGTTTGGAGTGGAAGCTTTGCCTTTGCTGGCACCTGCCAAGGACAACTGGAGGTCTGTGCCACCAGCTCCAAGGTTTTTGCACTGGAATTGCAGAATTGGCTTTGTTTCAAGAGGAGCTGAATGGCATCTCTCCAGTGTAAGTATATACGACCGAGTATCTGCAGATGGGCAGAACTTTGTAAGGTGGTAGATCTGAAGGTCAGTTGTGATTATACTGACAAAAGGGTCCCCTGCTTTCAAGAGTTTATGAAACTTGACAGCACTGAAGATGTTGGCCTCAAGAGCCTTGAATAATGGCTTAAAAATAAGCAAGACTAAGGCCCTTATTCTGTGAAATACAAATGCACGTGCATACATGTAACTTTGAGTGTAGGAGTAGTTGTTTTGAGATATAAATAAGAAGCACTCACATGCATAAAGCTAACCAAGCTTGAAAGCACTTTGAACAGTGCCCATGAAATTTATTGTTGAGGCTGTTGGTTGTACAGTTTATGGAGTGCAGCTTTAAAAGGGGGAAAAAAAAAATATACATTTCAAGCAGTTTCTGAAATAAGTGACAACGTGAAATTTTGGACTGTTCTGCTTTTTCTGAAATCAGTGGATGCTATTACCAGTGAAGGAATGTGAAGTGCGATGTATTTTGTCTGATAATTTGTTATGGCTGAAAAATTATATTTCAGAATGTTCATACATCAGTTCTTTTTATTTGATCAGCATGAATTAGTTGATCTAGTGGTTTATGTGTGGAAGAGGAAATGCGAATAATGTGATACAAAAGAAAAATTGTGTTGTATGGTAGGGTGCATACTGTGATAAGCATTAAAACTTGTATGTACATTGTATTCTGAACCATTTTTTGAAGGGTTTTTGAATTGTCTGTTTCTTTAAACACATTAGCAAGATCCCTTTCTAGTTCAGTAGGAAAACACCCCTTTTCTCCTTTTTCTGCTAATAAAGTTCATTATGGAATGAGTCAGCTAAACCCAAAATGAACGTCCTTAAAAAATTAAGAAGCGGTGGCTCCGTTTTGAAGTAACGTTTGTCAGAGAACTTTCTCTGCTGGTTCTCTAAGCATTTTACAGTTCAGAAGTAAGCTTTGACTAAGAATTCTCGGCAGAATCATAAATATATAATTACCTAAGCAGCCGGGATTATTTAGCCCCTGGCAGGTGCCCAGTGCTGTGCAAGAGCGAAGGGAATTGGGCCAGTATCTCAAGC